TCCTCAGGGTTCGGGTTAGCTGCCTTTCTAGCTCAGGAGACCTCTTGCCCATAGCTTGTCACCACACTTTCCCCCAGCTTGGACCCCTGGATTTATTCTCTCCACTCAGGCTCCACCCTCCACATGCTAGTTTGCTGGTCACCAGCCCTGGGTGAACCTCTGGGCACCATGAGACGGGGACTGTGGGATAAAGGCGTCCCCGGTTCCTGGACCAAAGAGGAACAGGATTTCCAGTGCTCGCTTGGCCCTGCTGCTTTTCAGCCACCCTCCCTGCCCTGTCTCCACTTTCTGAAGCCCCAGCCCCAGCTCCTGGCTCTTTGCTGTGGCGACTGCTGGCTGTTCTCTCTGCATCTCTGCCCCTCCGAGGTGACTGTGCTTTCCCAGTACATCCCTCTGCTTCTGTCTCACTTCTGAACCAGAGCCTAGTTCAGACTCCCTGGGTGATGGAGTGAAGGTTGGTGGTGTGAATCCATCCAGAGGGGCCTCGGAAGGAAGGCCTGGCAGTTGCTCTGAAAGGTCACAGCCTTGAAGCCCCACGAGTGCCCTACCCTGCACAGGTGGGGTGGCAAGGCCAGGCCCCTCTCAGGTGCTGCCTTTTCTGCTGACACTTCCTGCTTCCTCTGACAGAATTAGCAGCAGCCACCTCACCCCCTCCATCACACCTTCCTTCTCCCCCCTCAGAGACAACACTTACCACATTATTCACTAGGCTGGTTCTCACCCGGGCTGCCCTGGGCCATGTGGACAGAAGCTGGTGGTGTCTGGTGTGGTAATCTCGGGCCACACACACAGTGTGATGCTTGGGGGTCCGTCCCATCCCCCTCCCCTCCCACCATGGCAGGGCTAGCGGTCCTCTTTCCTGGGCCATCCGCCGGCATACAAGCGTGAAGGCAGCAGGGCAGCCGTGCCACAGTCTGCTCCAAGCACTGGGGAACATGCTTCCATCTTTAAGGGCGATCGCCCACAGACTGACGGAATCATTGACCACTATCCCTTTTCTGATTCAGGACCCTCTTGAGTTTTCCTGAGCCTAATCATGTAACGGCTCAGAGAATTTTAGGATTCAGCCCCAGTTTGCACCTTTGTGGTGTTTAATGACCATAGAGCTGTGCTTCCAAAGCTGCGCCTTTCCCTTTTGCTGTTTGGAGCATGGCACAGTTTAACAGAGGTGACAGCCAGGTGAGCTTGCACGCTGCACCTGTCAGAACACACGCTTTGACACAATAAACTTTTGAGACAGAAAATACCGTACATGCATAAGCCGGGAACATAGGTGTATTACCCGTTTACAGATGTACCATGCTAGCAGCGTACAGTTAACAGCACCTGTTCTTTGTGTTCAGAGGCGTGGGCTGCATCCGGCCACCCCTGGGAATTTCTGAGTGCACGCAGTCAGTCAGATGTGGCTGAACTCCTGTGATAGGTTGTGTGACTCTATAGCAACTGTTGGGTTGTAGCCTTTTGTCTCCTTTTTAAAAATAAAGTTTGTTCAGGGAATTCCCTTTCTGTTGGTAACCCAGCAAAGAAGAGGAAATGATTTTGAAACTTGCTTGAAGCTGCAGGTGAAAGTCGGCGTGAGACAGACCTAACACGCTGGGTCAGGGCTCGCTCGTCAAAGCCGAGGCTGTTGAAGCAAGCAGTCCGGCAGCTCTCTGGGACGGGACCTCACACCTGCCTCATGTCTCTGTTTTTTTGTAGGTCTTTCCCTATTTTTTATTGAGCTATAATTTATATACCTCGCTCTCACTTTGGTACTTGGTTAGGTTCTAAAGACCAGGTCCTTGTGTGAACATTGGCGTTAAGTGAACAGTCTTCAGACAATCCATTTGTCCGGTTTTTACATTTTAGAACATATGAAATGATTATAAGAAAAATAACAGTAGCAGCTAAGATTGACTGCAGTGCTTACCACTGTGTGGGCCCAGCTGTGGCTCATCCTGGAGGCTGAGGAGACCCCTCGCTGCCGGGGTGACTACAGGGCCCACACTTGGCCACTTCACCTCCCACCCATGCCAGGTCAGAGCTTCGAGAGCCACCTCCAGGCTCCACTTCACCCTGCAGCCCTGAGTCCTTTCTTTTTACAGTTCTCTGGTTTATTTGGGTCTCCACAAGGTATCAAACAGAATGAACAGGATACAACTCAGGACCGGCATCAGAAAGCGAATGCAAACAAGTCCAGGAAGACCCCTGAAGCAGGAGGCAGGCATGTCTTAGCCTTATGTGTTTCTTGCCCAGGGTGGTCCTCGGAGCAGAACTGCTCACTGCCAGTGCAGGCCTTGGAACAGAAACACCCCCCCACTTTTTTCTGGTCACCACCACTGCCCCTTCTCTCAGCTGGCTACCACCTCTCGGCCATTGCTACAGGCACCAGTGTTGCCTCTTGGCCGGGCACTGCTGCTCAGCTGGCCCAACCCTCATTCAGCTCCCACAGCTCTTCCTGGGGCAGCAGCGCTCAGTGGTTCCGGGAGGCCTGGGTGCCTGATCCCAGAGCTGGCTGTGCCCTGGCCTGGGGCCTCTCCACAGAGATGGGCCGCCTGCAGGGCGGGGCAGGGTGAGGGCACCGGGAGCCTGGCCACACACATGGCCCACGGGGTGGAGGCTTTAGGCCCACTTCTGCTCTCTGGGGATGGTCTTCCAGGTCTTCCCAGAGATTTGGCGGTCACAGGTGGGCTGGACTGGCTGCCCCTGCTGGGGTGTGGGACAAAGGTCTGCTTGGAGACCCTCCTCAAGGGAGGGGACGGTCACTGCAACCTTTGCTGCCATGCCTGCCACCTAGATGCATGCATGCACAGCATGGTCAGAAAGTAGGAGTTTTGTCATTTTCTAACTAGGTGGTAAACGCGAAAGGCCGGGAGTGGCGGTGTTGCTCGGTGCTGCAGTCCGTCCTACTGGCAACCCTTTGTTCCCCAGAAGGAAACACCGCCCCAGCTTGCACCCTCCCGCAGTTGGTGCTGTCCAGTCAGCAGGCCGCAAGGAGACGGCACGTTATAAGTTTGTGGGAAAGTGGAGTTAAAGGATCATGGAATTTTTCCATGAATTTTTGAAGCCCTGTACAGTTTGTTGTTTTGTTTTGACACATGTACACCTGTGTAACTCACTTCCCTGTCAAGGTAGAGGGCACTTCCACCACCTCAGAAAGTCATCTTGGGCTTCTTCTCAGTCATCCTGCGCCCAAGTCCCGGCTCCGGCTCCGAAGCCTGCCGCTGTAAACACTCAGGGGTGCTGTTGTCGGTGCAAACCACTCTTTCACGACCAGCTGCTTTGACCTTAAAGAATGTGCATGGGATTTATCCGTGTTGTTTCATGGGTCAGTAGCTTCCTCAGTCCACCCCCCTCCCATTTTCTTTCTTTTTTGGCTGAACAGTGTACTATTGTATGGACAGACCACACTTTGGTCGTCTCTGTGGATGGGGCTTGAGTTGTTTCCATGTTGCAGCAACCATTAGGAATAACACTGCCACAAGCATCCTCGGTCAGGTCTTTGTGTTGGAGCTGACTGTTTTTCTTAGATAAATATCTGGAGGTAGACTGGTTGAGTCACAGGGCAACTTAACTGGTGAGAAGGTGCTAGGCCACTTTACCGTGCTGTTGTTGTCTTGATTGCTTATTTATTATTTTTAATCTATCAAAGTGGTTGAGTATTTGGACTCACCTTAGACAGCCTGCTTTAGACTTTCTGTGTAAGAACAGACCCCCTTCTCCACCACCATGTGTTTGAGGCCTGGGCCTGGGCAGAGGAAGCAGTGAATTTCATTGTGATCCCATGCACTGCCCTCCGGGAACATAGGTGATACACCCACCTTGGAGAGCAGGCTTGTACTTAAAAACAACAAGTTAGGTGGACACCCATCTTACCCAGAGAAATGCAAGCGCAGGTCCATACGAAGACCTGCATGGCTGTCCATCAACCATGACAGAGCCACCCCCTATTCAGGACTGCTGCAACACCCCGCAGTGCAGACAGACCCCACAAGGGAAGTGCTGGGTGAACAGAGCCAGGCAGAGCCCCGGCCCTGAACGGAGGCCTTGGAATTCAAGCAGCCCGCCAAGCTAGGAGGGAGGAGGGACGTGGTGAACTGCCCGAGTGTTAGGGTAGGTAGTTACAGGCTTGATTCTTTGTTACAGTCAAGGTTTGTAGCCAGTTTGCCTTTCCGGCTAGTTACAAGTTTGCAAAGGAAATGAGCAGAAATACTATGACCACCTCTCAACAAGGGACTGTTAATTTAGGGGTCAAGATGAGGAACAATGGTTTGATTGTACATCTGTCTTGACTATAAAATTATTTATAATTCCCCACCTAATGTATTAAACAAGATTTAAGCAGTTCTTTTTCCAGGCTAGAAAGTTTGGTTCTTATCTTTTGTTATTTGAACAGTAACACTTTGAAACACACACCACCACCCACCACTCCCTGCTGACTGGGTTTGCTTTTTCAAGAAGGGAGACAGGAAACCCTCAGCCACCCGATCCAGATGTAGCAGCACCTCGTGTTTTGTGGGGTCCACCTCTACAGGTCGTGGGGCATGGAGCATACTTAAGGGGCGCAGGTCATCTCACTGGTGCAGGTGAGTCACAAGTGAGTGTCAGAACTTACCACATTGGCCTTGCACATCGGTGCAGTTTACTTCTATGCCACTCATACTTACAGAACAGGGCAGTGTTTTGTCAGGCGACCACGTGCCATGTGGAGCCCGGGTTCTTGGGCCAGTCGCTTGCTTGGTTCTTTCTGTCCACCAGTTCTCCTTTCTGGGAGATGGTCTTCCTCAGTGCCGTCGTCCACTCTGGCTGATAAAATAACATCACGGCAGCATTTAAAATGTTTCCATATCATAGTCAGGAGGTTCTTAGAACGCCCCGCTCCCCATGTCCTGCTCTCTGCTTACACCCCACATCTTTGAGCCCGCCCCCCCAGCGCTCTTCTGGGGCTGTGTCTTCACGACGGCTCCCTGGTTCTCCATGCCTCGGTAAGAGGGACTGACTCAGCGACAGCCGGACCTCAGGGCCACGGGCAGTGTGGTCCCCTGTCTGTGTCTCAGGGAAGGCTGGCAGTGAGCCTGGCCTTTCTCCGACTTCCCTGCATCCTGGTTCATTAGGCCTCTTCTCCTGCGACATGTTAGTGTTTCAGAGAAAGGAGCCCGCCCCTACTCCCCTCCTGTCTTCCTGGTGGCGCCTTTGCAGCTGTTCAGTGTGGGCTGGCCAGCTTTGGTCTGGATTCTTGGGGGAACGTTCTCGGTTTGTGTTTACCACATGGGCTGAAACACAGACAGGCCTGCCATCGGTATGTGAGTAATGCAGACCGAGCATGGACGTCATGCATGCGGGCCGTGCCTCAATTTTGACGGATAGCACTCGAGTCATGCAGAAAATGCCTCAGTGGTCCCAGCTCTGCAGGTGACACCTGCCGTAGGAAGTAGCGCATGCTTTCCTGGCACAACATCAGCATCAGTGACATCTGTTCCTACCCCATTTGCGTTCCCTCTCAGATCCGGTCACATCGGACAGCATGCACCTTAAGCTGCTGAAGAAGAGGCGCAAAATGTGCAAGTGACGCTGGGAATCCATCTGAGGTGAGAGCCCGATGACTCACAGGACAGTCACCCTTCTTCTGGCCGCCGCCCTCAGCCTGGGTCGGGTGGAGAAGGAAGCACCGGCTTGTGGTATAAAACACACACACACACACACACACACACACACACACACACACACACGGTGACAGCAGCAACTCGGTCTGGTCTCGCCCTTCACCCCTTGTCTTTGGTTGGCGAACCCCATCTCCTGAGAGCAGGGAGGTCGTTGGAAGAGGGTGGTGGGCGCGCCTACTCGGTACCCATACCGTGGGAATTGGTGGAGGTTTCTGCTCCAGCCGTGAACCTGTAAGTGATGGAGCCCCTTGGGGTGCGCTCAGCGTCCTGGGAAACCAGCTCTATTAACATCAGTTCAGCAACAGGAGGATGTCTGTCAGATGTCTTCAGATGGGAATCAGCGGCTCGTGTCCCCCAGCACAGAGCCTCGGCGGACCCCCGGCCTTCGAGAGCAAGTGTCTGTTTCCGTTTGCCTCCCAAGTCAGTCACCGGGCCTAGCTCACCTATCGTCCTGCATCCTTTCAGATCTCGGCCAATGTCAAGGGATTGTTTCTCCATTTCCTCCCCGCCCTTCCTGTGGCTTTAGCAAAGTGTCACTACCATGGATCAGCAGAAAGCCAGCCCATCTGCTGATCTCAGATGACTGAACTCTGCCAGAGAGCTGGCGGGCGGCTTTGGAGACCCACAGGGGCAGTTCCAGTCTGTCCTGGGAGGGAGTTGTTGTGTGGAACCCGGCCGGGCTCAGTGATGGCTCTCCTGGACTCAGAGTGACTTTGGGAGATCTTGTAAGTGTTCTGCCTATCCCTTTTCCTCGCCTGCCTGCATAGCATCCCGATGGCCATCCAGGAATGTCCTTTCACCCTCAGCATTCCGAGTCTTTTTGTGGAGCTCTCCCCTCCAATGGCACCTGACTCCTGGCCCCCAGGTACAGACATGCCACCACAGCTCCTGAACCAAGAAGTTGTAGCTTAAATGGTCCTGGTGTTTGGCTCGTATACCTTCTTGAGGTCTGCTTTCCAGATAGACCTTGTGCTGCCTACGCCCTGGGCCCTGAAAAGGGCTAACCTGTCTGACCTGTGGTTTCTCAGTGGGTTGTCTTCTTGTCCAGCAAGCCAAAGCCCCTTTCTCAGGGGATGGGCCTTGCTCCATAAAGCAAGGTGCTTTGGCCAGAGGAGGGAGGGCTCAGTGCACTGCAAGGCTCAGAGGAGCTTGGACTCGGTGGCTGCCCTTCACCTCATGGGGTCCTGGCAAGTGGCTGTATGGTGGGCCCAGCAGCTCATGAGCCCTGTTCTCTGTACTGCAGGCTGATGCCTGTTGAGCCTTGAGTCCATCCCGAAGCACAGCTGCTGGCGGGCATGCAACAGAGGGTGGGCCTCGGGGGTCTGAGTGGAGTGGGCGGGAGCGGGGTACGTGGAACCACCTCGACCCCTGCTGGGGAGCTGGGAGCTGCGCTGTCCCACGTGGTGTGTTCTTGTCGGTCCTTGTTCATGGGTGACTGTAGCTAGCCTTTCCGACGGGCTTTGTAGAGAGACGGGCCTGAACTGCATGCACTATGGGATTCATAGTGTTGTAAATCAAGAAGGTAAAGATTCAAAAATTCAGATCTCGGCTAGTTCTGTTTTGTGTTCTTTCCTGGTGTGTTCATTGAGACGATCAGGTGGCTGAGGGCGGGGAGTGACTCGTCCTGCTTCAGGTGCTGTGTGCGTATATGTGCCTGTCCCTTTACTGTGTGTGTGTGTGTGTGTGTGTGTGTGTGTGTGTTGAGCGTGCATGTATAGGGTGTGCATATGTGAAGGGGGCACCAAGAAGTTTGTGGAAAAGTGGACCTAAAAGATGATGCCCTTTCCCCACGAACTTCTCGAAGTCCCCCGCCCTCCGTGAGTGCTTGTGCATGCGTGGGTCTCCTGTGAGCCTGAGCCCCTGCGGTCCCTCCTCTCCGCAGGGTGCATCAGGGAAACCATGCAGTCATCAGGACACAGGCTCCGAGACGTTGAACACCATCCTCTCCTGACTGAGAATGACAACTACGATTCCTCGTCATCGTCGTCGTCCTCCTCCGAGGCGGACGCGGCAGACAGGGTGTGGTTCATCCGGGACGGCTGCGGCATGGTCTGCGCCATCATGACCTGGCTCCTGGTCGTCTATGCCGACTTTGTGGTGACCTTCGTCATGCTGCTGCCTTCCCAAGACTTCTGGTACTCGATGATCAACGGGGTCATCTTCAACTGCTTGGCTGTTCTGGCCCTGTCATCGCACCTGAGGACCATGCTCACCGACCCTGTGAGTAGCCTTTGTCTGCGCGGCCCCGGAGCTTGCCCATGTCTTCCCTAGAGTCAGTGCTGCTCAACTAGAAGAGACGTCACGGCACCTTCCAGGGAGGGTGTGCCCTTCTCGGGGCTGTTGTGCCAGTGATGAGACGTACTCGATCACTCTAAGGTCTCTTCTCTCGGGTGTCCTTCTGAGCTGGGCTGTCAGCCAGAGGCCTCAGTGTGGACTTCACCGGCTGACCTAACTTTTGAGTTGTCTGGTGACTCATTTGTTATGCATCGGGCTGCAATCTGCGGGGAGACAGACAAGGCTTTCTACTCCCGTGAACAGTTACAGTCTCAGAAACCCACAGGGGCAGTTCTCTGTCCTGTAAGGTCCCTGTTAGTCAGCACCAACTCGATGGCAGTGAGTTTGGTTTGGTTTTGATCATAAGCAGTCCATTCAAGCTCTTTGGGCCAAAGGTTTGATCCCATATTCATTCTTGGTGGCTCTATCATTCTCTCATTTTGGTTAGTTAGCTGATAGGGCTGTCCTTGAGGTGAAAGTTTACACAGCACTGCAGATTGGAGCTCACAGTGCTGCCACACTGGACACTGGTTTTCTGCTGGCCCCGAGCTCCAAGGACAGAGGGCAAGCCCCAGGCTGCCTTGCAGAGGATTGCCCACAGACAGAGGGAGGCCCCTGAGTTGGGGCTGCAGGCAGGCACTTGGCCAGGGATCAGCAGCCCCCAAGATCTCCATCTGGAAGTTCTTTGCCTGACCTCTTTGGTGGCCTTGGGTCCTCATAGATCCCACTTATTTCCTTCTTTGCAACATAGCAGCTCCCTTGGGAGCCCTAGCCCGGTGGCTAGACACACCATCTCCTGAAGGGTCCTGCTGTAGTTGGAGCTCCTGTCCCATCCACCATTGGCAGGGATGTGGTTCTGGTGGGATCTGCCCTTGATAGAGATTTGTAGTCATTGGACCATTCCGACATCCCTGGAGGAGGAAGGCCCACCGTACTGAAACTTCCCTGTCAGAGAGAAGCAACGAGCCCTCTGTGAAACGGGCAGGGGGTGGTGTTGAGCCCCCTCTAACTGCCCAGGAGAATGGAGCCAGCAGCATCAGCGCCTTTGAGGCAGAGGTCAGACACACCACCACCCTCCACCCTCTTGACCGATTCTGGCCCCCAGTGACAGACCATCCTTCCCACGACACTCTCCTTCTCTGCTGGGTGTGCCCTCTGCTGCAGCGGCCACACAGGACTCACAGACCATCCTCAGATGATGGGGTTGGTCGGGGAAAAGGTACTGTTCCCCCAGGAGAGCCCCTCTCAGCCATGCTCACAGGCACAGGGCACTCAGCTCAAGCTCTGTGGGTCAGCAAGCCTAGCAACCCAGACTGGTGCCCCAGAGTACCCAACTATCAGCAAGCCTTCTGCCCGAAGGCGCTTGGCTTTCCTGGTCTGTGGGCTGGGAAGCCCACTGCTCACATCTCCCGTGGGCCCCTCATTCTGTGGGAACCGAGTTTCTGCTGTGCCTCATCCCACATCGGCGGCAGTGTCCCAGCCCGCTACACTTGGGTGGAGGAAGAGCGGTGCAGGCCCCTCAGGTCTGAAGCATGCTCCTGGCCCTCTATGATGGTTGTGAGATCCCTCCTCCTCCTTTGAGAGGACACAGTTGAGCTGGCAGCCTGACCGAATTGACCAGCCCCATGGTAGGGATCCGCGTACCTTACTTGCATGGCCCCACCTCAAAGATGCCCTACACCTCACTTCTGTGATTAGCCAGATCGCTTTCCACTGTCCTGGCACTCACCCATGACTGTGCTCTCACGACCTGCAGATTCCCATTCCTAGAGTACCTTCCCCGGCTTGCCAGCCCCCGTGTCGACGACCTGTCTCAGGTGTGTGCGAATGCATCGGTCCAGCTGGCAAGGGGCACAGGTGTGTTACATCATGTGGATAAAGGGCTTTTACAGGTGGTTCTGTTCCAGGCTCCCCAGGGGCTGCTCCAAAGGAATGTGGCCGAGCTACTAGGCTCCGACAGAGGGGTAGGCAGAAATGCTGCCCCCTTTAGAGCTGGCAGGGCTGGACAGACTGGCGTGGGGCAATACTGATGTGCCCTGCCTTCCGTGAGCACAGACCCGAGCCACTTGGCAATGCTTTAAGGCCAATAAGGTGTTTGTAGACATTGTTTTCGGTGGAAAATAAAACTACTGCTTCTGTAGGAGTGCCAGGTTTTAATTTGTTTTATCCATAGTGTCTGCTGTAATCTGACAGCATTGGGAATGATTTTATGATGTGTGTGACTTATAAACACATATGTAACACACATATATTCTGACTCGCTGCAACCCTACAGGACAGAGCAGAGCTGCTCTCTATCTCTCTGAGACTGCAGGCTGTACACAGCAGCAAGCTGGGACTTTTACCCCAGAGCGGCTGGGGGGCTTTGAGCGGCTGAGCTTTCAATTAACTACTGTGACTGGCACACACACACACACACACACACACACACACACGCACACCACCCACTGCCATCAGCTAGCATGTTCTTGATGTGTTTCATGTATGGCCGTGGTGGAACAAAAACACAACCCTACTTTCTGCTTGTACATTCACAAGGAGCTCCCAGCAGTGCCGGCCTCGTGCACACTGGCTGTGGCGGCCGAGGGTGGTGTGTCAGCCTGGCTGTGCCGCGGTTCTCTGTGACTTGACAGTTATGTAATGAACCATGTGGTCACCCTCTACTTCTATGTAATTTCCATTTTTTTAATAATGATATGAACTTTGGAGTGTAGCCACACTGACAAATGAGCAGGAATATTTAACACACAGCGGCAGGAGGGAGGGGGTCAAAATGCTCCTGGACAGATACAGTTAAAAGATAGTGGAATTGTCCTCAGACTTTCTGGAACCCCTTCTTTCCCTGCCTGCTGATAAACTCGTTATTGACGTGCGTTCTGATTGACCTGTAGGGAGCGGTGCCCAAAGGGAACGCCACGAAGGAGTACATGGAGAGCCTGCAGCTGAAGCCCGGCGAGGTCATCTACAAGTGCCCCAAGTGCTGCTGCATCAAGCCCGAACGCGCCCACCACTGCAGGTACCCACACCAGGGCCTAGGCCGTGGGCACCATCCTAGGTGGCTTTTCCGTCACGGAGAGTTCAGTCCCCGGGCCAGAGCTTGCCAGTTCTTAGACATGTAACCCTGGGGGATGACGAGCAACCACTTCTGTTTGGCTGACAAGGTCGCCATTGGTTGGCGTCCACGTCCTGCAAGGACTCCGATAGGAACATGGCCTCCTTGCCCTCCCCATGGCCACTGACCTGCACTGGCATCTCTCAGCCAGGTAATGGGATTGGGGTGTTCACTTTGCCAACCCTATGGGACCCTGCCATGCAGGTGCGAGAGTAATCCCAAGTATTACCTATATGTATATGTAAAAACACTCTGTCATATTAGAGTTGTTGGTTTTTTTAAGGAAGCTACACATGGCCTAGGGTTACACATGTGCCCTTGGAGTTCTAGCCCCCTCCTCCCTGTGCACCCTGCAAGTCTCTATAGAACCTTGTTGGCCTCCCCTCTCTGCCAGCCCCCGGTGCTCAGTCTGTGCCCTAACATCTGGACCGTGGTGTGTCTGAGACACACTCTTTCTAAAAGCTAACAGCTAGCAAGGTAGTAGTTTACAATCTCAGGTCTGGACTGTTGGGGAGAGAACGTTACGCACAGGCATACAGCTGGGTGAGTGCACAGACGACTGTGGATCAGTGGGGAGGACTCAGTTGGCGATCACAAGCACTTCTCTTTCTTGGAAGGGTTAGTTTTGTTCTTCACTGGAGCAGTCTTAGCCGGGTGAGATTGGAGGCAGTATGCTCTGTGGGCAGTCCCTTCTAGCAGGGGGTTTAGGGTTCAGTGCAGCATTTCAGCCCCGCACCCGCTGTGCCGCTGGAGTATGGGAGTGGGCAAAGGAGGAAGAGAGAGAGACAGGCTAGACTGCTGGCAGGGGTGAGCCTGGGTGAATGGGGAGATGATAGCCCAGGTAAGAGGTGATTAAACTGTTGAGTACAAAGTTGATGATTTGAATGTAACACCCACCTATTACAATAAAAAGTTGGTTTTTTTAAGTACATTAATTTACAAAAAGGCAGAAGACAGCCCTCCCGGCATGCTCCCCTTCCTCCTCCTCCTCCTCACTCCCTCTTCACTGCTACCCAGACTCCACTTCTCTCACCCCTGGAATCGACCATTGTTCTATAAACTCATGCCATCTCTGTAAAGGAGGCGCAGGAGGCAGCCAGGCCCTTGGGGGACCTGTCCCCCTGTGGTGAATTGAGGCCAGTGAGCCTCCTTGAGCACCAGTCCCCTGCAGGGCCCTGCTCTGTCCTCTTGTAGGCTTTTGGATTCCTAGTGAGCCAGTCCAAGGAGGCGGCTGTTGGCCCCGATTCACCTTCCCAGGGCTGGCGGGTGCTTGTCACCCCTCGGAGAGCACTGCAGGCGCAGCTGATCCCCAGTGCAAGCAGTTGAGCCGCCAATAAAGGTTTCTGCTTTAAATTTTTAAAAGCAGGTGGTGGGGATAGCAGCCCAACTTTGAGATCAGTCGGAGTCCCACCAAATCTGTGTGGCTGTCTGCACAGACCCAGTGCACTAGGACACATGTCCAGGATGCTAACACTCACACCTCTCCTCTCCAGTATTTGCAAGAGATGCATCCGGAAAATGGACCACCACTGCCCGTGGGTGAACAACTGTGTGGGCGAGAAGAACCAGAGGTTCTTTGTGCTCTTCACTGTGAGTACCGGCGTCTTTCGGTTCCCTCCCTTCTGCCGTCTGGCCCGGCCCAGGCTGGATTGCCCAAGGGAGGTCCCGGCATTTCAGGTGTCTGCGTGGCCCTTTCTCGCTCCAGTGAGAGTTTCTTCCTGTAGGGCCTGCTGCCTTCCCTCCAGCTGAGTGAGTGAGTGAGTGTCTCCGTGGTCTGGGGTCTGTAGGCGGGTGTGAGCGCTGCTGCAGACAGATGAAACTCCAGAGACAACCTAACACTGAGCATGCTCTGCTGAAAGTGAACGCTGCTCACCGGTGCCTCTCCGCCTCCTCCTAGATGTACACAGCTCTGTCCTCAGCCCACGCGCTCATCCTTTGTGGGTTCCAGTTCATCTCCTGTGTCCGGGGGCAGTGGACGGGTAAGTGGATGCTTTGTTTGCTGTTGGGGAAGAGGGACTAGCTTTAAGGAAGGAGTGATTCCCCACTCTCAGGTTTGAAGGAGGCCCTTGTAGTTGCATCAGGAGTTCATGAAATTCTTGTTAGAAAAGAATAAGATAAAAAAAAAAACTAAAAAAGAAAAAAGAAAAGAATAAGGTCAAGCCATAACCTGCCAAGCCATTTTGCTCGTACAGTGGTGCTGTGTGACACAAACCTCGTTTTAACCCAGTAAATGCATTAGTACGTGCTACGATTGCCCTCGTGTCTATCCTGACTCATAGAGATGGTCTAGGACAGGATAGACACCCCCCACCCCCTCTCCCGAAGGCGGACTGCCTCATCTTTTCTCCAGTGGAACAGCTGGTGGGTTCCAGCCGCCAACTTTCGTTAGCAGTCAAGCGTGGAACCACAGTGCCACCAGGGCGCCTTGTAATTTCTAGTAAGCAATTTCATTTGCATCTTGCGGATTTTGAGACCACTGGGAAATCAAGTTTCTTCCCACCAGACTGGTTGAGGGGGGTGCCAGCTCCCCACCACTAATCACGGGTTCGGTAGGCACAATTGTACGGTTGAGATATATAAATATTATATTAAAGTCATTGAGAGCATGGGATATAGAAGAGAGAAATAATGGAGTCAAGACACATTTCATGGTAGCAATGCTCACCTTTGGGGGCGTGCAAGCCCACTAATTACAGGTAAAGACATATGTCACAGGAAGGGGTTGCACTATGTGTTATACAGCAATGAGAGGGGGACAATCTAGGGATTTACACGCAATAGAAAAAGGGATTGGGGGTATACATGTGACAAGATGGGTGGATCCTAGAGTCAGGATATCAGCTTAACTATCTGTTCTCTGGATCTCCATAAGAACCATTATCAGTAGGGTGTAAACCCCACCTATGGGAACCAAGCTAATGGTAGCAAGCCTCAGGGAGTAGTAGTCCATTGTCCCCAGCAGCGGGAGCAGGCCCACCCCTGGTGGGGTGAGACAGCAGTTTGGCAGCTGATTGCCTCAAGGGAAATAACTTTTATCATTAGATGCAAACTGTCCTAAATCCAACATATTTGGGGGAGACAACTTGGGAGAAATCTTTGTTTCCCACACCAGACCTTGGGTCTGACTCTGGCTAGCGTGCTAACCAGGGCGCCAAGACCGGCTTCCCATTGCTTCCCCAGCCGGCGAGGCTCCCGCTGTGCCCTGGCAAAGGTCGCACACAGTTGTAGGCGCTCACGGCTGCTTCCTTGATGTTCAGGAGAAATCTGCAACAGTGAGGAGGGTTTGGGGACCGCTGACCAGGAAACAGTGGTCATTTGTTTTCTGGAGGTGTCGGTACACGCAGGCATCTGCTTTTCACATGAGCACATGCTTCCATCAGAGCTGGCCAGTGGGCTGGGCGCCCCGAGGGGGGTGTGCATTGATGGGATGACGCCACTCACTCTGACCCCTTTCTCTGGTCCACAGAGTGCAGTGACTTTTCACCACCAGTAACTGTAATCCTGCTGATATTCTTGTGCCTTGAGGGCCTCCTGTTTTTCACATTCACTGCAGTTATGTTTGGCACCCAGATCCACTCCATATGCAACGATGAAACGGTATGCTTCCTTCCCCGGTCCGAGTCAGTGGGCAGGGCTCAGGTCTGGGGCAGGCCCAGTGTCCGAATGGACGCAGGTGGCTAATGGAGCAGCCTTGAGAGCTTAGACCGGTGCACTGTGTTTATCTTGCCTGGTTTTATGGACTGAGCACAGTATAAGAATCGGCTTGCTTAGGCAGTCAGTAGTTGCTCTGATGTCCACGAGGCTGCCCTTGACCTCCCGGTTCGAGCAGACACCTGTGAGTGCCTGTATGGAGCAGTGAACAGGCTGGTTCCCCCTCCTTCCCCGTGACCGTTGTCATTGGGTTGTCACTCCAGCTGGTGTCGCACACGGCCTTCCTGCCCCCAGGCCTGTCTTGCCATCTGCTGTGCTGAGACAGGGCGTGGGGGCTTGGCTGGGGGCCTGGCAGGAGCTTGCTCTCTGGCTGGGGAGCCGGGCCGCAGTTTGGGCTGCTGCGTCTACCAGGTGTCTCCCACCTCTTGCTCTCCCTCTGCCTCCAGGAGATCGAGAGACTGAAGAGCGAGAAGCCCACGTGGGAGCGCAGGCTGCGCTGGGAGGGGATGAAGTCCGTCTTTGGGGGTCCCCCCTCCCTGCTCTGGATGAACCCTTTCGTGGGGTTCCGCTTCAGGCAGCTGCAGGCAAGAAGCAGGAGAGGGGGCCCGGAATTCTCCGTCTGAGGCTGGGCCCAGGCCAGCAGTTGCTCATAGACTCCAATCGGCTCTCTGAAGCTTGTCTGGGACCAGTAGGGCAAACGGAACCTACGCCAACCAATTGCTTGCAGCAAGCAGAGTTTTCTATATTTATAGTCACAGATGCAGAGGCTCCAACCTGGAGCAGGAAGATACTGACTCGTCTTCACCCGGTGTGCGGGGTGTGGCCACTCCCCAAGGCCCAGGGCCACCGTCTTCCTGCAGTGGCCAGGTTTTTGTTAAGACAACTTCGCATTTTCTAAGCAGCTGTGTGGGAAACCACATGGCTTGGTACCACCCTGGGGAGGAGCTGCAGTTTAGATCATGAAGAAGTCTACCTGGGAAGCCCCCACTGACCTGGGCTTCCTCAGTGCTCCCTGGCCACAGATGGCACGGACACACACATCTCAGACATTTATGCTGCACCTAAGTTCCAAAAGCTGTGTGTCCTGCCAGGCATTCTATTCTTCCAGGACATCCTTTGTGAGAGCGCGAGTGAGTGTGTGTGCGCGTGCGCGCGTGTTTTGAAACCAGCGGTGGTGATGAGACAGTATAGAACACTGCACGGCTGCAAACAGAAAAAGCTGCTTTTTAGACACGGGCCATTCAGGGAAGAGGGCAGACTGTCGCGGTGCTGCAGGTCAGAGGACGTCTTGACCAAAGAACCACCTGTCCCTGGGCCATCCTGTGCTGTCTCCTGTTCTTGGTTTCTTCAAATCGTGAGTGCATCAGGGCTTTGGGATGGACCCCCCCCCAAAACTAGAAGTGCAGGTAGCGCACACTCTCGGTGGCCCCGCACTGTGTCATGGTGCATTGTGGGGTGGGTGAGGGGGCAGCACCGGAGCACCACAGGAAGCAAGGTATCTGCCTGATGACAGCAGGCCACTTGCCCTAAGCGGGGGTGACTTCGTGCCTTGGTTGCAGGTGACAGTGGGAAAGGGGGTGAAGACACTGGACCGGTGGCAGGAGCCCGCTGATCTCGGTGTTGGGACACTGGCGTGTGTGCCCAGCTCACAAGCACTGACAGGGCCCTTGCTGTGCGGCCACCAGCTGCACCACTTGTGACGCTGCCTCGGGGCCACGTTGTGACTGCAGGGCACCGTCTCTCCCTGTGCGTGTGTCTCCCGCCCTGCCTGTCCGTGGACTGTTCATTATTTTTTAAAACGAAACTGTACCCCATCCTAATCAGGGTTTATACCACTGTTGATGCAAAACCACCACGGGACCCACTTGATGCCACCCGGAGCCAGGGAACAGACTGCACTGGGTCTGAGGTGGGCGAGGGGCCTAGCCTGGTGGGGAGAGGCCGCCTGCACATCCACTCGCACTTGCTTTCTGGGTGTGTGTGTGCAGGGTCCTGTTTGTCAGGAAACAGACCAGGGGAGGGGCGGGCAAGTGCATGCGGGTCTGATGTACTTGCCTTTTCAGCCTCTTCTTTCAATGTAATTTTTCTATGAAATAAAGTATCCAGTTGACCATGCTCAGACAAGTGTGTCTCCGGTGGCCTGTGCTGCCTGCCCCCTGTTGCCCGGACCTGGTTTCCTGGGCCAGCAAGCCAAACCCATCAGGCATCAGTTCCTCAGCTTTGTCCTGAACAGCATGATGTCATTCTACCAGCTCACCACACTCTCTCCCCCTCCCGCCCGCCCCCCAGCTGTGGAGCAGCTGTGCACCTGAACCACTGAGTGCAGTTAGCAGGGCAATGCCAACACACAGCCCTGACCACGGCTCCTTCAGCCCACAGGGAGGTCAGACAGCGTGTGCACAGAATCGCTACCATCCAGTACCTGTCCCCACAGCTTGATGTCTTCCGCCCACTCATGTGCCTCCTGCTTACTCTGCTCGAGAAAGGGAAGATGCACAGGTGTGCAGAGTCACCTGAGGTCCATGCTGACAAGTAAAGTAATGCCTTGGGGTGCCATCCCCACTGTCATCACCCCACCACCACTGCCAGCTGCTGTGTGAGTGCTAACCCTTTCCAGCAACCTCTCCAAACCACATCTGTTTAACTTGGTGCCTACTGAGCCACGAGCCCCCCTGCTACAGTCTTTTACGACCTTACTGAAGTCTGCAGGCAGGTGGTGGGACTGCCAGTAGGGCAGGGGTGGGGCTGACAGAGTCAGCAGTCACCCACGTGGGCGGGGGTGGGGGTGGGGGGAGCAGGGGCGAAAGGACTGCAAAGCAGCATCAGCTTGTGAACTGGTTTCAGCTGCAAGGTAAGGAAGGGTGTTCATCTTGGAGAGCTGGAGAAGGCCCTCCTGAGCTGCACTGCCGCAGGGTGTCCCGGCTCAACAGGGTGAGCCTCAGTGTCTCCACGCAGGGCCATTGAGAGTCAGGCCATCATGTGAACCAGAGCTAGTCAGCGTTCCCCTGCAGGAACAGTCACCTCTGTCTCAGGACCAGTTATGACACAAGTGGCTTTTAAGTGGCAGGACCACCCGCAGCTCACCTGACCCTGCAGGGTGCTCCACTGACTCTGCCTCACTGATGGTGGCAGCAGGCAGGGCTGGGACCAGTTCCTCAAAGAAGGGTTGGCCCCTCAGCTTGGCATCAGTGAAGTGCCACCAGAGGGCGCCCTGAGACAGCAAATGCCACAGCCTGCCCAGCCAACAGGCCAGGCCTGTACTCCACAGGCACACACAGCTACTGTGTGCCAGCAGGACACACACAGCCTCCCCTACCCCACCCTCCACCCCCAATAAACACTGGCATGTGCTGTAGGAGCCAAGGGCAGCAGCCATGGAGGGACCTGGAGTGTGGGGGCAGCAGCCCAGGCTAAGGCTCGGAGGCAGGCTGGGACTCAGCGTGCACCCCATCAGTGTGCCGTCAGAGCAGGCCGAGCATACCACGCCCACTGGCATTTCTCAGCTGTTTCTCCCAGGGCTTAGGAGGAAAAGCGACAAGAGTTCACACTCCCAGCCATTGAGCCCGTTCTTTGTAGGACAAGAGACCTGCCCTGTGGGTCCTTGAAGAACTCTCCCGTGGATCAGCTGGTGGGTTCGAACTGCTGACCTCGAAGCTAGTAGCCCCACACGTAACCCACTGCACCATCAGGGCGCTCTCGACCCGGAGAAGGCATTCCCTCCTGCGGGGGTGAGCATGCTGGGAGGAAGGAACCAGAGGCCAGGGAGTCTGTAGTGGCCTTCCTCTTGTGTCTGGGTGAGACCTACCCATCCATGCGGACTAGGTGCCCCAACATGGGAGACCTCCAGGACCCCCAGCCCTCAGTGCTGCAGCTCGGGGAAGTGCCCTCATCCCACCCATTTGGGCATCACCCCAAGAAGCACAGGGTTCGGGGTGGGCTCCAGGAGACAAAACACCCTTGGCCAAGGCTTTCATTTGAAGCGCCTTAAAACAGGGCAGCTCCGACCCCAAGGGCCTCGGGGAGGAGTGTTCAGCACTCGGCCTCAGTGAAGTGGCCCGATCCTTCTGCCTGTCCATTTCCCACACATGGTGGGTGGACCCCAGGAGTCCCCTCCCCACCTGCTCTCCTGAGACCTGAGCTGTGTGCCCCTCCCCTTGAGTGGCAGTATCGTCATCACCCAGGACTTTCTGGCAATGACATTCTTGAAACCCATCCCCACCCCAGAGCCTGCAGCTGAGCTGGGCACTTGGGTGAGAAGCTCTGCTGCAGGTCATAGGGTGTGCAGGGAGAGGGCCACTGGAGGGGGGGGGGGTACCCCTGCTGCTCCTGGTGGGTGTCATGCTCACCACTGTGACTGGAGCCGCCATTAGCCTCTCAGGGCCTCCTAGGGTACAATGGTAATGGCACAAGTGACCGCACTGAGAATGTGCAGGGCCCTGGCTGCCGTGTGCTCTCTCGTTCTCGGCCGTGAGCCTGGCTCCTTCCTCTGCATCTCCACTCACCCAGTGCGCCACCAGGGCTGTCCCCTACGCCCACCCCAGGGCGGCACTACGCTGGTCTGAACCTTAGCTCCACTCCTTGGTCCCTGCCCCTGCCTGCAGGCTCTCCTCCTCCTCCCTCGGGTGGGAGGTGCCCTCCAAGGCGGCACACTGCCCTCCAGGGACTTGCGGGGTCACCCTGGGGACCAACCAGGGAGATTCTGGAATTCTAGGCAGGGGTGCTTGGGAGATCCCCTCATTCTCTGGAGCCCTGTGTTTCAAAGGGCACAGTCCTGCCTCCCTTGGATTTCATCAGCAGAACCCAGACTCGACCACAACCCCCAGAAATTGGGGTTCTCTATCGGAGTGTGGCCTGGGGTAGCGTTAAGCCGAGAGCCCTCCAGCACACCCCAGAAAGACTTCTGCCCCCCAAATAGGGCTCCTTGAGTTCGGCCTCTGGTGGAGGCTGCCCTGGGGACTGGGAGTGTAGAACAGCACCCGGGGACCCTACCTGAGAGGCAGGGGCAGCCCTCCAAGCCATGATAGCTGACACTGCCTCCCGATGTGGCTGGATGACAAACAGCCACCCCTTTGCCAGAGAGTGGCTTGCTAGGTGACGGAATCTAACTTCTCCATCGTGTCCTAGGAAGGAGCCCTAGTGACAAAGTGGGTATGTGGTGGGCTGCTGCTACCCCCAAGGTGAACAGCTCGAAGCCACCAGTCTCCTGTAAAGAGTTGCCAACTCAGAAACCCACAGCGGCTCTTTTGCCCTGCCCTGCGCTGCAGGGTGGCTGAGAGCAGAGCCCGAAGTGGCGGTGGGTGGTTTCACCTTTGCTGAAGCAGGCATGGCACCAGGTCTTGACTCCTAGAGAGGCGGGTGGGTTTGAACTGCTGGCCTTTCAGCTGGCACCTGACTGCTCACCACTGCAACGCCAGTGGGTTAGTACCCGGTGCCCTAGAAAGCTGGGTGGCAGCCTCCACAAGGCTCCTGTGTATGCAGGTGTGGCTGTGTCTGAGCAGTCAGGGTACCAGGTTCAAAGGGCCCCAGGTGACTGCAGTCCCCACCGGCCACGTGAGCCAGAGCATACACTTGTGCCTCCTTGTTGCTCCACCTGCCTCTCTGTAAACTGGGCACCTCATCACAGTTCCTGCCAGGCTGACCTCGGAGTGGAGCCACACCCCCAGCAGACACAGCACACAGTGAGCGTGCGGGTGGGTTTCTTGTCCCTCTTGTTTACCTTGTCCGGGGTTTTCTGGACTGACGCAGTGTTCTCAGTTAAGGGAGTCTTTGGGCTTTTTGTACAAACCAAATAAAAAAACAACTAAATCAAACCCGATCCACGTATAAGTCACACCAGGGCAAACACTGGCACCTTAGGGTCAGAGGACTGGGGCTCGGGCCTCAAAACCACCAGGCTTTGTAGCCCTCGCCGTCTCACTATAGCTGAAGGTACTTTTCCATCTGTCTGTGCCTCGTGGCATCCGTGCCGAGGGGGCAGCTGGACAGAGGCCTGTTGTGGCACTCATGTAGCAGAGCTCCCCGTTTCGAAGTGAACCTCTCAGCAGCCTTTAGTACACTGGGCCACCACCACCTCTGCCCCTTTCCTGAGCACTCCTACCCCATAGCTTCACAGTACAGCCCCCTGCCTCCCTCCCTCTCAGCACCCATCTCCTCTCCTCAGCTGCTCCTCATGCCCCCGCTGCCAGTCATGTCCTTCCTGCGTCTCTCAGGCCTCTGCTCAGTCTCACCTCTGGCCCACCCACCTCCAGCCCTCCTAGCACACCCCTGACACAATGCTTCCCTGTTTACCTGTCTCCTATCTGTCACCTGTGAGGGTGGGTGCAAGTGGCTTTGTCTAGCTCACAGCGGTGGTCCTTTCGGGCAGTCCTGGACCCAAAGCTGACACTTGACCCAAATAGCGACCCTGGAGGGCAGAGCAGAACTACCCATGGCCTTCCGACACTGTGATCTTTCCGGAAGCAGAACACTGTTCCTGCAGAGCAGCTGATGGGTTTGAACCCCTGACCTCTCAGTCAGTGGTCCGATGCTTAATGTATGGCACCACCAGGGCTCCTTTTCCATTACCCAGATCCCCCAATAGTAGCACGGATGCAATATCTACAAATTCCTCCTTTTCCTGGTCTGCTCAGGAGCCCACGTGGCACTTAGCCATCCTGACCCTGTCCCTACCTCTCCTATCAGACACACCCTCAGACTGTGCTTTTCAGGGCCTGGACAGCTTTTAGAACACACTCTATTTAGAGCACTTTTCGGTTTACAGAGAAATTGAACAGAACAGAAAGTGCCCATATGTGAGCACACGCGTGTGCGCGCGCGCGCACGTATGTGTGTCTCAAGTCCTGCATTTGTATAGCATGTTTGTTACAACAATCGACTCATAGTCCAAAAAAACAAAACAAACCCACGCCATCGAGTCGATTCTGAGGCTGTCTTTAGCAGCGCAGACAACCTCATCTTTCTCCTGTGGAGACACTGCTGGGTTCGAACTGCCACCCTTGTGGTTAGTCGTCCAATGCTGACACGATCAGTGCCAGCAGGACAACAGTGATCACTACAGAATCATGAACTTAAGCCCTCGTGTATGTACCCTAGGGTCCATTCTACTGTACAGGCCTATAG